AGGAAAGTGAGTACGCTGGTCAGGTTTCTTCTTACTTACCTCGCCGAGCGTCGCGTCACTGCTGCTCCGGTGGGCGGCGCTCCGAGCGGGGTCATCTGGCAGTCTCCGGGTCCTAATTTAGGTGGCCGGAGACTGCCAGATGACCCTGCTCGGAACGCCGCCCACCGGAGCAGCAGTGACGCGACGCTCGGCGAGGTAAGTAAGAAGAAAAAAAAAAAAAAACCCCGCAGCGGCCAGTCAGGAGCAGGGGAGCAGGGATGAGTCAGCGGCGCGCTGGTCAGGCGAGAGGAGCTCCAGGTGGGGTTGTAATTTAGCTGGCAGGCACCTCTAAGTCAGCTAAATTAGGACCCCACCTGGAGCTCCTCCCACTGGACCAGCGCTGCCGCTGACTCGTCCCTGCTCTCTCCGGCACAGTCACACAGTGAGTGAGGGCAGATTTGGGGGGGAGATTTATTAAGCAAATATGTATTGTCTGCACTGTATTAGCAGTATATACTCTATATAGAGTATATACTGCTAATACAGTGCAGACAATACATTTACAATTATACTAACATGAATGTATTAAATGATCTGTATGTAGCCCTGTACTATGGATCATTTAACCCATTCATGTTAGCAGAGGATCATTGTAAATGTATTGTTGCAGGCACTCTATATGTACATGTACTATATACTACATATAGAGTGCACTGAACAATAGATTTACAATTATCCTCTGCTAATATGAATGGGTTAAATGATCCGTAGTACATGATATGTAGCCCTGTACCCCCCTTTCCACTTACAGAGCTAGGTTATTGTTTTTCTTTGAAATAAATATTCATGTAATTTTATTGGTATCTATCTTCATTTTGTACATTTACCAGTAGCTGCCTCATTTCCCACCCTCGGCTTATACTCGAGTCAATATTTTTTCCCAGTCCTTTGTGGTAAAATTAGGTACCTCGGCTTATATTCGGGTCGGCTTATACTCGAGTATATATGGTATGTAGGAGTTGTCTCCAAGTGTTCTGCACTCCCTGCCCATAGCCCGTGGCTCTAACAGTCGCCACAACAGTGCAATGCTGGTAAACAAATGAGCAGTACATGGAAAAGGTCATAGAAATATATTAAGAACTGAATGTTTGAGCTTGACACATTTCTGGTTGAACTTGATGGACACGTCTTTATTCAAAGTAACCGTGTCAACTGAAGTTGTTCTTTGAAGGAAGTTTGGAATAGAGCATAGCCCCTGAGTTAAGCCGCCATTTATCAGCTCAATTCCAAAGTAGTGACTCAGAGAAAAGGTTTAGCTCCATATACTGTAACTTCAGGCAAATATGTCATGAGAGAAATACAGAAGCTGCCACGGATGACTTCCTTATATGTTTCAACGTTTAAATTGTTCCAATACTTTGAGCAATTGACCAGCAACAATTATGCAAATCGGGAAAGGCAGACGTCTTTATTTGCAAACTTTTTTTAGGTCAGCGACTCAAAGTTGAAAAGCTTAAAGGAGAACTATGAGGTGAGTGCTTTTCACTCACCTCATAGTTCTAGCCGACCTGAGATCAGCAGCACCCGAAAGATAATATTTAAAATCATTGTGTTCATTTATTGATATATAGCGTCACATATTATTATTATACAGGATGTATGTAGCGCCAACAGTTTGCGCAGCGCTTTACAATATAGGGAAGACATTACACTCACATTACAATTCAAGACAAGATGGTAAGGAGGGCCCTCCCCTGAGGGCTTACAATCTAAAAGTGAGGGGCCAGTGATACATGAGGAGGTAGCTGTGTGGCAGGGGTGTGGAATTCGTATGGCCCGACGCCCGTGACATGTAGTTCCGGGCGCCGGGCAAGTGTTTTTTTTTCACTGTTTTAGCCCTGCTACGGACAAGTAGCAGGGCTAGTTTTCTTTTCTTGAATGAGCGCCGAGCGCGGCGCTGCGAGCGAGGGGCGTGGAGCGCAGAGAGCGGGGGCGGAGCGTAGAGAGGGGACGGAGCGCTGAGAGCGAGGGGCGGGGGGCGTGGAGCCGTGACGGAGCAGTGACAAAGCCGGACGGTGGAGCTGTGACAGGCTCTGTCACCTCCCTCTGTCCCTGGCGGCCGCTGCTCATTCCTGTCACAGGAGTTCTAGCAACAGTGCCTGCTAGAACTCCTGTGTTGGAGGTGACAGGTTCAATAAAGAGTACCTGTCAACTCCAAATGCTATCACACAGGTGATTGTTAAGTTTTAAAAAAAATAGTTTAAAAAAAAAGTTACAAATAATTAAAAATGTAACTAAATACAACATTTTAAAAATACAAAAGGCGATAAAAGTAAAAATATTAAAACAAATTAAAAATCTTTGCAAGGTAAATAAAAATTTTAAAAATGAAAACCAGCCCCGCTGCCCCCATCTGCATGCAAATAAACGTGCAGTGTTTTCAACTGCAATCGTGTGCAACCGCAGGGGCAGGGCGCTATTGCAGCAGGAAAACGCGCAATCTGCCTGGCACGACTGGGGTGCCATTAGAAAATAATGGCACTGCCAGCGCGATCGGCAGTGGTGTGTGATCCGTGACTGCCCGATCATCGTGCACGAAACCGTGCGGATGGCTGGGTGGTCACAGAATTGCACACCACCGCCGATCGTGTTGTCAGTGCCATTATTTTCTAATGGCACCCCAGTTGTGCCAGGCAGATTGCGCTTATTACTGCTGCAATACCGCCCAGGCGATCCCACACGATCGCTGTTGAAAACACTGCGCGGTGCATGTGGTGAAAATAGATACATCTACCTTTTTTTTTCAGCGATTGCCACGCAGCTGTAACCCCATACATGCGGATGCAACCGCACACGATCGCACGTCCTGGGAATCCCCAAGTCTGCACCAACCCTAAAGGGTATATTCACTTTCCCAAGTAATTTGGGAAATGGTTTTACCGACACAAATCTCCCTCCCACTATACTTAGCTTTCGGCGACCGGTCCTTCCCATCCACCAGTACTATCTGTACCTGTTCCATGTATTCTGAATTTCGCTCGCAAATTGCAAGCACTCGTTGGTCAACGCGGTCACCTGACGGCACTGACCAATGAAAAGCGCTTCTTAGCACTGCTAAATACGGTTTGGGTTAAAATTATTATTTTTGTATCAGGACAAGCAGATTCGGCCCCCGCTTTAGTCCTTGGACAAGTAGTTTTTTTCAAAAATTTCCACACCCCTGTGTGTGGGGATAAATTGTTTGAGAAAGTGATAGTTCAGTGGTTAGGTTGAGGTGGGATGGACTTCCCTGAAGAGATGAGTCTTAAGGGATCGCCTAAAGGCAGTCAGCATGGGAGATAGTCGGCCAGGTTGGGGTAAAGAGTTCCAGAGGATGTGATAGACTCTAGAGAAGTCCTGGAGGCGAGCATGGGAGGAGGTGATGAGGGAGCTGGAAAGCAGGAGGTCTTTGAAAGAGCGGAGGGGATGGTGAGGGTGATACTTTGAGATGAGGTTTGAGATATAGCCAGGGTCAGAGTTGTGGATGGCTTTGTAGTTGGTGGTTAATATTTAGAATTTTGTCCTTTGGGCTATTGGAAGCCAGTGGAGGGATTGGCAGAGGGAGTCGGTTGGTCAGGTGGATGAATGTAGCAGCAGCATTCATGATAGACTGAAGGGGGGATAGCCTGTGTAGAGGTAGGCCAATGAGGAGGGAGTTGCAATAGTCAAGACGAGATATAACAAGTGAGTAATTTTGCGGTTTCATTGGTGAGGAAGGGGCGTATTTTGGAGATGTTACGAAGGTGAAGGTCGCAGGATTTCGATAGTTATTGGATGTGGGGAAGAAAGGTGAGGTCCGAGTCAAGGATAACACCTAGGACCTTGGCACGGGGGGAGAGCTGGATAGCAGTGTTATCAATCTCAAGGGAAAAGTTGGGGGAAGGTGCACGGGGTGGAGGAAATATCATGAGCTCAGTTTTTGAAAGCTTGAGTTTTAAGAAGTGTTGTGACATCCAGAGTGATATGTTAGTTAGTACATATATAGTAGATGACATATATCAAATAGCCAACGTTTCGGGGCCACGCAGGGTCCCTTCATTAGGCGATCATGTCACCCTCATGAAGAAACCCTGCGTGGCCCCGAAACGTTGGCTATTTGATATACAGTATGTGACGCTATATATCAATAAATGAGCAAAGATTTGAAACGATATCTTTCGAGTGCTGGTGATCTACTACTTCCTTAGGCTTAAACATACACAGCGCCATCCGTGTCCATCACTACAAGCGCAACATCTGCTACTGTTCGTAGACGCTGAAAGGAGTGCAGGGGACATATCTTGCATACGTCAAAGCTGAAAAGGGCAACTAGCATTTTCAGAAGAAGTCAGAAATGGCGGGCGCTACAGTTCCCTCATGACAAGTTTCCTTAAAGAGCCTGGGTCCATTTTTTTTTGTGTTCTACATTACACTAAAAAGTGATTACGTAAACCTAGAATGGACCCCCCGAAACATGATCCAGTGGCCCTAAATACTGAGAATAGGCGGCTCTCTTTTTCAAATCTTTTCCCTTGTTGTCAAAGGGATTATATGTTTCTTAATGTTCCCTAAAAGGACAAGTTCACCATTTCACAAACAATGAAAAGGGAAACTAACTCACAACACTTACTTCACCCCCTGTCCCCACTGCACTTACTGTATGTGTAATAATCACCCTCATCCACACCAGATGGGGTAATGAAAACACCACCTCTCAACACTGGAGGCTGTACAGCAACACAATGCTTCCAATGGGGAGCCCTCTATGTTCCAGGTCGGTGCTCCCCAATACAAGAATTGCATTGCTATACAGCCTCTGTGGCTGTGTGGGGAAGTTCTCAGGTGCTAAAGGCTGGTGGGCAAGGGTCATTAGAGAGGATCGGGGGGTGAAGAGGGGATCGGGGGGTGAAGAGGGTGTTGGGGGTTAGTT